CAGGGTGAGACCCCCACCTGCTCACCCACCTGCAGGGTGAGGCCGGCTGGGAAATGGCCAGCCAGGGAGTGGGGCCTTGGGCTTTGCATAAGAGGTCCATGAAGTCCATGAGGTACACCGATCGGCTGCCTCCTGCACGCCCCCCACTGGGGATGGAGCCTGCAACCCGGGCCTGTGCCCTGACCGGGAATCTAACCCTGACCTCCCGGTTCATATAGGTTGACACTCAGCCCCTGAGCCATGCCGGCCGGGCTGGGTCAGTGTTCGTCCAATGGGCAAAAACGCCCCCTGCGCCCCTGGGTGTTGAGGGGAGGGTTCCCCAAGGCAGAGGCTCGGGTGGGCGGGGCCGGAGGGCGACGCTGAGCCCTCGCTGTGACCCCCAGACGTCGCCAACCGGGTGCTGCTGTCCCTCTTCACCCTGGAGATGCTGCTGAAGATGTACGGGCTGGGCCTGCGGCAGTACTTCATGTCCGTCTTCAACCGCTTCGACTGCTTCGTGGTGTGCAGCGGGCTCCTGGAGATCCTGCTGGTGGAGTCGGGCGCCATGACGCCCCTGGGCATCTCCGTGCTGCGCTGCATCCGCCTCCTGCGGCTCTTCAAGGTCACCAAGTGAGCGGGCGCCAGCCAGCGGGCAGGGCTCATGCCCTGACCCGGAATCGAACCCTGACCTCCTGGTTCATCCCCCAGCTCATCCCCTCCCCCCTATCCCCGCTATCCCCCCACAACCCCGTCCAGGGTCCTGCAAGCTCCCACGAAACCACCCCCAGCTCTGGGCCTCAGTCCTCCCTTTTTATTTTTATTATTATTTCTTAAATCCTCACCAAGGATAGTTTCCCCATTGATTTCTAGAGAGGCTGGAAGGGAGGGAGCAACAAGAGAGAGAAACATCGATATGAGAGAGATACATCGATTGGTTGCCTCCCACACATGCCGTGACTGCGGCCAGGGATTGAGCCTGCAACCGAGATACGTACCCTTGACCGAAATGGCACCTGGGACCCTTCAGTCCTTGGGATGGCGCTCTACCCACTGAGCACACCAGCCAGGGCTGCTCATTC